CTTGGTCCCACGACCTTTTTCAGATTAGTTCTGATTTTATTTTTACCGATTATTATTTGAAGAGTATTCTCCCTTAATTTTAGTAATTTTCTAACTTGGGAATGGTAATGTAAAGATTTTCGTGAGTTGCTGAATCGGCCCGGTGGGGAATTTATGTGACGGTCACTTTTGTTACAACAGTATTGTTATGGTAGTGATTGAGTGTAAAGTTCATAGTACTGCAAGGTTCACGTTGAAAGTTGAAGGTACGAGCTAACAGCTTTGTCTTGCACTCTCGCAAAATTCTAAAAAAAATTGGAAATGTAATGGTTTCGTAGAGCTAAAGCAGTGCAAACAAGATAAGCGAAGCCTGCACAAATTGTGTTGAGTTGGCTTGTTGTTAAATATTCTGATGTCTTTATTGGGACCATTCTCGCTGTTTAACATCTTCAAAATCAGCTTGTCTGGACTAAAACCAATGTAGCATAGTTTTGGGTATTGAATAGGACATTGGCAATTGGTGACAGTGGCGTTACGTGTTTTGATCAATGCAGAATTTCACAGGGTGACAGACAAGCTGAATATGATCGCCGCCTGGAGTTCATTTCAGTTGACTTCCCTATATGTGAACTCACCTCTTATTCTATTTCTGGTTCAATGACAGCTAAAAAATCAAAATTAAAAGTTTGTGCTTATTATCAACTTATTGATTACAAGTTGAGCTTCTTTCTTCGCAGGAAAGGGAGCGCCCAATACCTGGTATTTAAATCTGGCACGAAATCTTCGCACTCAGATCATCACTGTTCACTACTAATGCTCTGTTTTGTTTCCTGAACTCCTATCACAGTCTGCAGTAAAGATTCAGATTTGCGGTAGCATTCACACACATGTGTTTAAAGGAATCTTCCGCGGAAAAAGCTCCGCCTCCATTACCACAGAAAAACGATACCCCTTAGGCCCCTAGCCTCATGAGCATAGCAAAAAGAACGGAACATAAGCGTTAGTTTCGATAATACTAATCCTACACACAAGACAAAATGATCACTCTTTCCGTGGAAGATTCCTTTAAGGTATCGTTTTCTGTGGTAATGAGGGCGGAGCTTTTTCCGTGGAGACTTACTTAACACTCCACATCTTCTCATCACTCATAACTATGGAATTCCTTAATTAATTCAAAGTCTAGCTCATATCATATATTTTTTTGTAGCTTTGTGCACCTACATTTTTTTGGAACTTTTCACACGACCTTTTGCACCTCAGTGTAACTTTTAATTTCGTGCCGGCCGATGCTGATCGGAATTGTATAGAGAAGATGTGGCCGGTTTGTCCATCTGTGCGGGAGTTCCGGGTACGGGGTCGGTTGTGGTCTTTTGGTACCAATTTGGGGACTCGTACGCGTCAAACGACTTCATCAGTAACTGATGTGGCTTTTTTATTCTGAATGAAAGTGAAAAATGTATCAATTTTGAACTCTTTTTCGTGTTTCAGCGAAGTATTGGCCAGGAGGCCAGTCCTGTATCTTGGTCTGAACCATCGGAAGTTTACTGTGAATGCTTATCATCTTGACTGTGGCTGTAACGCATATTTCAGTTCCTTTCAAAGTACTGACCCGATTTATTACTCTTGCCAGCAACTTAAAGGCCATACCCCAGGATCACATTGGTGTGGCCCATGTGCACGAATGTGATTGTACTGGTGGGAAGTGGGCCGGCAGTAAAGAAAAAAGGAAAAGAATCCGTCAAAAACGCTTAGGTTAAGGGCTCACTCACCTTCCTGATCGGCTGTGCTAAGGGAATGAGAGACTAAGCGCGGAGAGGAGAGTATGAGGCGAGAGAGCACTACAGATGAGAGAGCGCCAGACAACAGCCTGATAAGAAAAAAAAGTCTGCAGCTTGGGCAGCTTACTTTGCAAGGCCCAAGCGCTCTTATCGGTCGGTTTCCGTGCACGAGGACGCCACATCTGTGATTGTCCTCTAGGGGTCTATACTAGAGACCGAAGAGAAGCGTTCACACGAACTCTGCCTGGGTTGTGCCTTTAAGGCGCTACACCGAACCTTATACTCCTCCCCCTGGTAAACGAGAACAACGACTTCACACGATAGTGCCAGTTTTTCTTGGATATAAGTTATGAAGCGGTTCCTAGAGCAGGTCGCTGGTCAGTGTTTCAAGCTTTAATTTAATTTCTACAAGCTGTGATTTAGTGTCTGCTCCATTTATTATATCAGCTTTAACACGTTGACGACAGCATGACGCGCATGCGCGTCAGAAATTTACCCGATTCTGGCTAGTTTTTTATGGTTTATTTGGCCTTTTTCATATTTCAAAAAAAAAAACTGTGTAGCATGTGTCATCTTCTGTGAGTCAATTACCAGTAGTGGAATTATTGAAGAAGTCATGACGATTGTGAAAAAAATAAACAAAAAGTTGCCGAAGTACATCGTTATAAGGGGGCGTCGTCCCACTTTTGTTAAATGCAGTATGAGAGGTGTGAAAACCGGGAATATTTCTTACGTCGCACATGTTACTGGAAGCAGAAATGAAAATCGATTTGCGGCTGATCATTGAGCCAGATTCCAATATATCTATGTTCGGGATTTACAAAACGAGAGAAAGAAAATTATGAGACAGCAGTGTTCTAATTTCGGAAGGACCTCATAAACGCCGTCAGACCAGGGGCACCGCTTCATCAGGCTTGCCCCTCAGGGGTTCTATCGCTAATTGTAATCAGTGTTCAGCGGTCGACCGTTGCTGCACTGCCCATGTACAATATTGAACGTCTCCATTCCCAGTTCGAATTATTCAGTTTAGCCAAGTGATAATATACAAGAGGCCTATTTCTCGCGTTAGGCGAGTGTCAAATAACAATGCGAGTATCGATCATTAGATTTCTCGCTTCAGAGGGAAGGGTTGCTGCGTAAAGCACATTTGTAGATTCATTTTTTATTTTTTTTTCCTAGCAAGCAAAGGATACCAAGTCCAAGTGGCCCCTTGTAACGAAACATACGCTACTAGATGTGTTTGTGGACGCTAATCTCGAATTCTCTGAACGTAGTTATGAAGGGACTTCAACCTGGTATCCTTCCCTTGTAAGTAAGCAGAGCGTGACTTTTTTTATCCTAAATTTAGTTCAGCTGACATGTCCAGTAAGCGATCCACTTCAGTGTTGTTATTCCCTCATAAAAACACATCAGAAAGCTTTTCTACGACTGAAATATCTCTGAAGCCGAGCGGTTCCATGCAATTGATTCGTATTTGTTGATTGGCTAAGTGTTTAGAAAGCGAGAGAGATAGGGCAGCCTGCGATCTGTGCGATTCCTTGGTACTGATCGCAGTCATCAGCGATCACCTATATTGCGGAATCGACCGAACAGCAAAGTCACGACGCAGTCTAGCAAATAGCTGACCACAAAACATTGAAAGCCTTGTGGCGAAGATTCTTAGGGATCTCGCACGTCATGCTTACGAAACCGCTCTTTCGTCACTTGTCAGGCAATGAGCGTGTCTTTTGAAACTTTTTTCGGTCTACTACACACTTTCATGCGGCAAAACGCTTCTTTGCTTCTCCATATGGGTTTATGTAATATTACAGCGCCCTGCTCAACAACGGACTCCTTTCATGGAGAAAATAAATCGATAAATTTGTGCAAAAGCGAAAGTCTTTTTGTTAGTTGTCCCTAAGACGGTTTGTGGTTTAACCACGGCTAATAATAGTTTCTAAAGCAGCGCTTACATGATCGTATTGCTGCAGTTTCAATATTTATGACGTGAATGTGAACATTGGTGTTTTGTTAGCGGCTGCCTTCAGCATGCTCGCATCCCGTTGTTTGTGTCGAAATTGGCTGCGCCGAGTGTCTGGCGGCATCATCCAGTGGCGTGTTGTGGATGCTTAAAGTGACTGACTGGCACAATGATAGGGCCAGCTTGTGATAAGCGCCAAGGAGCGCATACCATCGTGACAAGGAAGCGAATCCGCGACTTTTTTGGCGCTCTCTCGGAGAAGGGACGTGAGATTTAGATAGTGTTTCTATCTTTATAGAAGAGAATTCATCGCTTGCGTCTTTATTTTAACTACTCGGACGAGTTTCGTGCAATTATTCACTGGTTGAAGTTGGCTGGGGCCTGTAAAACTAGCTTTAGCTAGATATGATCCCAAGATTCCCAAACGAGGTCCAAAACCTGCTTGTTGAAAGCCTTCAACTGACGAAATCACTGCAGGTTTGAAGAAGCGCTCTGTGATTCCTGACGTAAGTACTTCTCAGCAAAACAACAGAAAGTGCAGAAGCAATCGATACGGCAAAGAAGTACAGGACCTGGGTTGTTTGGGAAGTTCATGACACTTTCTGCCCGCGTTATCGACCTACATCACAGCTGGTCCAGTGATGAATGGATGGCGCCTTGTTAGAAGCCTTCATGGATGGCGTTTTTTCTTCTCGATTTGAACCTTCGAGACGGCTTACCGAACATCCACAAATCCGTGATGTTTTTCTGACGTTCTTGTTTATCGTCTGTCCCTTTCATTTCTGTGCTTCTCACGACATAGTTCAATCCCTCGCTCTCTCACTCTATCCCTTTCCGTCTGCTCAGGGATTGCGTTTCGTGTGTGTATTTGTGTGTAAATAGGGCGGCGGCGAGCCCGTTCTGGGAGGGGTGTTGTGGGAGTGGCCACGCCCCGTTCCTGAAAAGTCGCGAACCTCCGGTGCTCTTGTCGTCGACGATCGGTGACGGCTTAATAGCCATTGTATTCGTATTCCAGACACGTTCTTCGTTCAATTACTTTACTGCTGAGTGGCTGAGCTGTTGCCTAGTCCTCTCAGTCGCCCTTTTGATGACTGTAGACGCGGCTGTGGCCGGTCCAAGTCGGCGTATTTTACCACCACGTCGGCGATTTACTTCTGCTCCAACGGCTCGGTATTCTCCCCCACATGATCGGAAGGTTCCTCAAATTCGAAGATCACCAAAGGCAATTCCTTCCCCCGCTATTCCGAAAACTTTAGTTTTACGGAAGTTTTGCACGAGAAAAGGTTCCTCAGCAATGCAGGTAATTTTGTTGCAAGCTCTAATCACTCTTGAAAGCTGTTCTTTTCCTTTTCTAAAATGTTCCATGTCAGATGCATATTGGATTTAAAAAAGGGTGTTGCGCCAAGATTTGTCACATTTCTTTATTTCAAAACCAGTTTGCTAGGTTTTCAAGTGATCTCAGCAATCTCTTACAGAATCAACGCCATTCACCGTCAATGGAAAGCCCTGACCTTCATCGGTTTGGCGACAGTCCTCGAAGTGGATCATTCAACCAGAGCGAGGTACGTAATCGTTCGTTGTTATGAGGTCGTTTCTCGTGTGACCTTCCTAATTTACCTAATTGTTGCTTGTTCACTCTTCTGACTAATTGCATGTCACTGTAGGAAATCATATTGTGTATGTGTAAGGACACTGTTTCTGAAGCTTCGTAGCTGTGGCATAGAAGTGTGACGTGGTGGTGAAGTGTTCGATCAGCCAGTTTGTTGTGAGTGTGACGGTGTGTACGGCTGTGTGTCTGTGTTATGTATGAAGCTATGTGTTTCACAGTTTGAAAAAACGACTGAATCGTACAGTTTGAATGGAAAGGGATACCCTTTGTTCATCTCGTTGATCTCCTCATCGCTATCATCCCTTTGTCGACCTCGATTCTCTACCCTCAAGCTATTTTGTTTGTCTCATATTCATCCGCATGCGCGCTGCAGTGTTAAATTCATCCATCTGCTTGCCATCATCGATCTGCCAAAACCTGTTCGATAGGATCTTTGGCGCCACAGGCAAGTGCTTTTGGTCGCTAGCCGTTCAATCGGGCTCGGCGAAGCAGTTGATTATTTGCATGCAGGGTTGGTTGGTGTTTTCTTTGCATGCCTTCACCTTATCATCGTCATCATCGTCATCATCATCTTTCGTCATCATTTGCCTCTCTTTCTCTGCCATGTTGTTATCTGCACGTACGCACCAAGAAACGAAAAGCCTAGCTTTCACACATCGATTCAGATGATTCAGACACGGTGCTTTCAGTTGTACGACGACTTAATCATAGACGAGATTCTGTCGCTTGAAGACGAGCAGAGGAGGACCAGCGGAAAGACTCAGCCTGTGAGTATTTTCCCTTGGTTTCTCTTACTGCATTGCTTTCCGCTTCCTTTGATATTCTGTTTGGCTAGTAATTCCCTTGATTGCTCCTTTTATGACCTATAGTGAATTGGGATCTTTTACGCAATGAACATTGTATTTTAACACCCCCGAATATGGTCTTTTGTTCTCTTCCACTTTATGCCATTAATTGCCGCGCCGCGAGTTATCGATCAGCGCTGGGAAATTGACCGAGAATCGGTTTTGCAATTTATTCGAAAGTGTTTGGAAGCATCGGAGAGAGGAATAGCACTTCCTCAATTCATCCCATTCGGACGCTGTTGGTAGCGCCCCTGGATTGGGCAGTCTCGTCACGCTGTGGCGGAATAAAATCCAGAAACGGCTATCGAAAGGAACTGGGACCGGTTTTTTATCGTTCCAAGTGTGGTCGATTTTTGTTTCGATCATTCCAGCAACGAATGTTGCCCACCTTGACGATCACTTTACGTATTGTATAACAAGAGGCCATGTAAATGGGGTAAACATTTGTGCAATCGATACCCCTCCACAACCAGGAACCATCGCTGGTAGCCGTCGACAGACAACTGATAGCACAAAGGCCGTAGAGAGCGTTCGTGCTGCCATTTTTCCATTGTCAGCTCTGCTTGAGATATGGAAAGTGTGTTCCAAATTGATTGCAACTGCCAGTGGACACAATCGCGAGTTCCATCAAACGCTGATGGTGGCTTTCCCATCCCATTCGTGGGCAGGATACTGCGCCTTTAAAATGACCTAAGGGCGGTAAACGCGGCTGGTCAATAGCTGCAGATTTCGGAGTGATATTCCTTTAGCAGCTCTTCACAAAAAGTGGACTCCTTTTGAATTCGATTTCTTTTGGCACCACTAATTTCATAAAGTAAGCTTTTAAGTCCGGGTGTCAACCCCTCTGTGCTTTCAGAAGCACAAGTCCACGATTTATCGTCTCTTTCCTTAGTGGTTCTCTAGTTGCTCTGCTAAATAGTTCCACCTGTTCGCTCGCACCAAACATATGCTGTTTCCTGCTTAGCTCTTGCAAGTCATTACTGACATGTTACATTCTGAGTGGCATATTTTCTTGAAGTATGATGCTGTACAGAGGAAACAAATTTTGGCTGGTTGATTTTTGATCGCCTTCACGCCGGCTTCACCTTCTGGCCCTTACCCTCGGTAATTATCCATCTCCCCCTCTTCTCTCGGCTCCACACAAATGCCTCTCTAGTGGTGATTCTGTTATACCACTTCCTTCGGACCTATTAGCATACGGCTCCAATTAAATTTTGATAATGGTGAGTCCCGTAATAAAATTGACCTTTAGCAATTTCACTTTACAACTAGATGGTAGCGTGTAGGGAGATGAAATGGAACACTACACTGCCGGAGTGCATGAGTTCGTTGCACTGGTGACTCACAACGGGAGTAACCGATTGGAATTCCCGCATAACACATAACTCTTGCGGCTAGTGGTGTGTTTTTGTGGCTGACGAGCGCGGTCTGGTTATCGGTGGGGCGTTGTGTCAGACGGCCAGACAGAGTGAACCCACAGAGCGAACTCGGCCAGCACTGATTTTGCTCTTTTTGTTTGTGAATGAGCACAGACATGAACAAGGCTTACGCCGGGCCTCAGAACTTTTTCAGTTACCGGGTTAATTGCTATAGAACGGTGCAGCGGTAAACATGGTTATTGGTTGGTTTTATTTGTGTTTACCTCATGAAGTCGTTTTACGACATGGGTAAATGTTTACGAGGTATAATTGTGCGACTTGTTTATCGTGATCTCTGGTCTCTTCGTTTCGGCGCAGCATCGACGCCAAGCAAAGATCTCGCATCTCCTTTCTGCCCTAGTTCGTCAACTCATGAACACTTCATGCAGGGACCGTCAATGGGCTTCAGGCTTCCATACAATTTTTGCTTCACTAGAGAATCGATAGGGTGTCCGCTAATGCACTAATACCTAATTTTCCATGTCCTTGTTCAATTTAATTGCTTATGTACGCTGAATCACTAAACAGATGTCAAAGAATTGCCGAGCTAATAACCAGTGCGATGTGCTGAAAAACGTAGCTAGTATGAATCGCTATATCGCTAACGCGCCATTTTTATGGAGACGTTTCGGGATGGGCTATGGTGACAAAAACTGGACGCGATTAGATCAAGTCTATGAGCGAAATTGAGCTGGTTTTCGGGATGTGGGCGATCTCTGGAAGGTGTTTGATGTCTTTATGTAGCCGATCCGACCATGCAGGGCAGGCAAGGGTTAGGGTGGCGAACTGGGATAGGGAAAGTAGATATTGTTAAGTCAAGTCTCCGATCAAGTTTGGATAGCCTTTGAAGCAAAAGCAATCCCTGAAGTGGCGGATGTATCGCTGGAATCGATCGACATAGAAAACAATAAGGAGAGCCTTAGGAAACTATGCATGTCGACATACTCTCCCTTTAAAAAACGAGTAGAGCGTCGGGTGCAGACCATACACCACAAGTGACGACGGCCTCAAGTAAATCTGGTTAATAGTGATAGCTGATTTTTGGTAAATGATAGTTGTAATTAGTGACAACTGATAGAATACAACTGCAACAGGCTAATCATTTCATTGGCAGAAAACATTTACATTTTGTGGAGGCCGTCGTCACTTGTGGTGTATGGTCTGCACCCGACACTCTTCTCGTTTTTTGAAATGGAGGGAAATTAATCTGTATACCGCGAATCAGATTCCCACAAATCTATATCTGCCAACGTGCCCAAAAGGGTGAACCTTAGTTCAGCTCTATCTTATCAAAATCTCATTATTGCTTCGGGCTCTACTCAGCACGCTCTAGAAATGCATTATGCCTCGTGTTACATGGCATTACACACTTTCTTAGCCAATTTCTCGTTTCTGAATTTCTCCAATTTCAGCTTTCCGGCAGCTATTCATGTGCGGACAATTTGACGCAGCTCTCCAATGCTCGACCGATTCCTGGCGCTCAATCATCTGGTACTACAAGTAGTGTTTTCAATCAATTCTGTTTACAGATTTTTTCATATTCAAGAATGAATCGCGTCATTGTGATCAATCACTCAGGGGTTTCGTAATGTGTTTGGGGAGATTAGATGAGAATTGTTCTTTTTGTGTGATGACGTTAGCGACTGCACGGCGTCTTGTGTTGTGCTGCTGACAGCCGTCTTCGATATCACTACAGTTAATGCTTGATTTCATTGATTACCGTCAGGGGTTGACAACCATGCCGGGGAACCAGAAGGACCATTGGGTTGCCGTTTCACCTGGGCGGAGCGGTAGTGGCACTATCTGGTGGTCTTTTATCGCCCTTTCTTGTCATTAACTATGTGATCGGCAGAGTGGCATTGTGGGAAAACAAAGCACCACGTGACCGTCTGGGGATTCGTCTCGATAATGAAATGATATCTGAACAATAATTGAGGCAGCATTGTGTCATTCAAGAAATAGGGTGATATAAGCTGGCGAATGGGTACTAAATAAACCTTCAGTTTTGGTCAAAATATACGGTTGAGTTTGGAATTAAGCCCGGAAAACGTTGATGATTCAAAGATGAAATATGGCGCCTCAAAATTGATAATATATCGTGGTTGTTTACAGGTTCAGGGCATTCTGGAAGTCCTATTACGATTGGAGGCGCTGCACTGGGATCAAACTTTCGCCAGGTGGTCTCGAGTTCTGCTCCCACTAGTTCGATTGACATGGACGCCATGTTGATGCAGTCCTCACAAGAAGGTTCAGGTGGTACTGGGGATGATTACTATCGCGACAGAAGGAAGAAGGACATTCACAATATGAGTGAGAGTTTTAGTATTTGTTTGGGACTTTGGTTAGCTGTCTATAAATACAGCGTTTCAAGCTTGGTTAGTTCACTGCTTTCCTCTTTTTAGAGTGGATATTGTTTTACAGTAAGATTTTACAATTTTTTCGAAAAGTTTCTTAATTCTTGAGTATAACATGAGTAAAAAATGCCATAGTTTTTCAATGTCGATTTCTTTTTCGAAAACAGTCAATGGGTAGTCGCAGTTTATGACGGGTTGGAGTGTCTGGTAATCTTGCAATAGGAGTAATCTAATTTTCTCCCTCGCAAACCTCTGAGTAAATACAATAAATGAGATGTTAACTGTAAAAATTTCCAAACAAAGATGAGCATTGCGCTGCGTGAAATTTTTTTAATTATGACCCCCCCCCCCCCCACCCCACATACCAATGTACTCATCATCCTCTCTCCGATCCCAAATATATGTATTCGTTCTCATTTTAAGTGAAGCAAAAAACCCGAATGCCACCTCACCTAACAGTGATGCCGGTAGGCATCATTAACCCTTCAGCCATTCTCAGAAAATCAGTCACTTCCAGAAGCCTCTTTTCAAATATCTTTTTGATGAGCCACGACAACTATGTGGAGATCTTTTTTTCAGCTTTTTAACGTTTGAGGAAAGAAATCGCTAAAATTCTTCTTTTCTCTCGTGTCCTCGAATTCGCATTCTAGCCTAAGGAAGTAGTACAGGGACAGGAATCATTTTACCCTTCCAAGTGTTTTTTTGTTGTGCTCTATATTTCATTTTTTCATCCCTGTCGCACAGTGGCTTCTGTTTAGATTCAAAGTTGTTTCTGCTCCTTTTTTCTCTGGATCAAAATGTGAATAACTGTATTAAAAAAGTCTCAGCGGGCTGAGGGTGAAACCTTGTATAAAGGAAAAAACCCTATTTCTTAGAGGAAAACAGAATTACTCGCAAAAATCCTTTCTTATCCAGCTGTTCGTTTTTGGATATGTGAAGTTTCACCAAAAGTAGTTAAGCATGCGTGACCGAGATCAGTTGTGAAGAGGAGTTGACTGAGTGAGCCATATCGAAAAAAAAATCAGCAAACTCTCTTGGCATTGCTTTTTTAGATATTTTTATTGGCTTGGTTTCTTGTAGGAGGTCGCTCATTGTTCAGCTTTTTTTCTCAGAAATTGCGTGAATAACATATACCCATTTATACCAGCGCAACTGACTGTTGTGGTATTTGTTTCTGGAATTCGTGCGTATGCGAAGGATGCCTGTGGTTGATGGATTGCCGAATGCCAAACATAGCCTTTGTACGCCTGATACGCTGAGAGCGAAGGTCGACAGAGGTGGTCGTCCCCTTACAGGCATCCGCTTTGCATACACGGGTGTAATTATTGGAAAACTTCATGATGTACATTTATGATAATATCCCTGCTGAGTTACGGAAGCACGTTTCGCTCCACTAGGGGTTCGAAGCTGTACCTCTCGCTTTCCGGCAGTTGTTCGATTACAATACCAGGGTAGCATCTCAGTCGCGGATAGCTTAGTCAGTCACTGATAAATTACCAAATTTTACCCACTTCACGACACGTCTGACGTGCTGAGCCGTTTAGCCGACATCGACTGTGAAACGCGTAGCTGAAAGCCTCTAGCCGATATGACAGTTTTCGAGTGAAAAGTTAATTTTAGATCATCATCACAAGGTTGATCATGGCGAGCTTTGCGGTGGTAAAATGGATGACCTATGTGCCCGCAAACGTGAGAGAATTGTGCTGGCTTCCCACTTACCAGGAAATGTTTTTGACTTCCCATGGAACTTTGAAAGGAGATTTATGTACATCGATAGAGTCCTTGACGCTGATCCTAAATGTGGACATTAAACTGCTACGTGAACTTTCTAAGAAAGTTGTGAGCCCTAAAAGTTGCAAAAAGAATGTAGTTTGAGGGGTGCAATCCATAGGAAAACGGCTACGTTTTTGCCTGGAACTTGTTTTGCAGAGCCACGGCGACTGTGATTCCACAAGGTAAGCTTCCCTCAGTGACGTTTTTTGCCAACGTTGAAGACTCATAATTTTCTTAGGAACTTCACGTAGCAGTTGTAGTTCCCATATTTGTTATGAGTGTTCATGACTCGGTGGATACAATCTGGGTCTCGCTTTCCAAAGTCTCCATGGGAATTCAAAACATTTCCTGCTGTCAGAGCGAATGTGTTTTAATCATAACTCAGCAACACGGTGACGACTTCCGCATACCAAATTGCAACAAAAACTAGAAGTTGAAATCAGAAAACAAATCATGATCGCAGTCTTGAACGAGGAATATCACCTAATCAAAAAGATTTCATGGTCATGTCTTGGTTTTGGTCTTCCTTACAAGTGATTAAGTTACTAGGATAGGATAGCTTTTGCGGTGATTGAGATGGAACTTCGCTAGTGCTAGACGGTTGCCCACAGGGTCGACCGTCACGTTCGCTTTTTTCTGTAAATTTTGCGACCTCTCCCCTTTAAGGGAGTCTCCATGCGATCCCCACCACTATCCGGTTTAGGAAATTCTCCCAATACAACACCCCCACCTCTACTCCGATCACTACCCTCTCCATCATGGCTGCTTCTTCTATATTACTTGATTCTTCTGAGACACACCCCATTTCCTACAAAACAGCCGGGTCATAAAACAGCAGCAAATCCACTAATTTTGCTTTATCCTGCTTTCATGAAACTTTCGCCAAACTCGTCGGAAAACCCGTCAAATACAATCCCCGTTCACACTTTCCGCTTAGGTAATTAACCTTGCTCAACTCCAAAGTGCGATCCCTTTCCTCTTCCCAAAATCGGAAATGTGACCTCCGTTCGAATAGTGCGAACGAACTATTGACTCTTGTTGCCCATGTCTACTAGTTCGAGGCACCCAAATGAATGCGACTATGGTTTAGAGGATCCAAAATACGTTTTTTTTACTTCTCTTGTTGATTGAAGCGTTTTCAGTTGAACGACGGCGGCGCTACAATATTAACGATCGCATCAAAGAACTCGGCTTAATGTTACCGAAATCGTCTGCAGAGTGAGTTCCCTGATCAAGTTTGCCTTAATTGGCCCGCCTATTGCCTCTATCTCGAGGCAGTCCAAGTTACTCTTACTGAATTTAGGAACTTGAAGATAAACGATGGATTTAGGGATTTGAAACTAAACAAGGGCACAATTCTGAAGGCGTCATGCGATTACATTCGACAATTGCAACGAGATCGTGAGCTCATGTTGAAACAGCAGGCTCATCAACAAAAACTCGAGAGTGCGGCCAAACAATACGCAGAGCGCATTAGGGTGAGTTCATGTACCTCAGTTAACTCTTTTGGTTAGAGCTCTTCAATCAAAGCGGTAGTTTAGGAGCTGGAAGAGTGCATGGCACGACAAGGTGTGCAGCCTCCACCAGCACACTTACCTCCACTTCCCCGTTTAACCAGTATTGATCGACCGATTAAGCAAGAAATGGATGACACAGCCTCGCCAAATCACACGCCTTGTGGCTCCCTGGTAAGTTTAAACACTGCTGAGTCAGAAGTTCATCGTTTGATGTCATCACTTCAGTCGTCTTCTGGATTCATGTCACAGTTGTCCGATGGAACAGCAGCCATGCAAATCGCAAGTCCGCTTGGTAGACAACCCATGCAGGTAGCAACAAGCCACTCGGAGAGCTATTTTTCAGTTGGTTCCAGCAGTCCTACCGACTACGGTGAGTCATAAAAAATATTGCTCCATCTGCACCAGATTTGGGAAGGATGTCGATTTTTAGCCTACTAGTTCTGCATTTTTCCAACATTAGGTTTCCCTTTTTGAAAGAAGGCTAAAATTTGACGTTGCGTCCCAGTGTGGCTGGGATGGTACCCCCAGCGATGGCTGTCTGGAGTGCTTATTTGAACATCGTAAGGAATGATATCAATCGGAAGGCAGAGAAAGGCAGAGGCTAAGGCCTGAACGTGTCTTTGTCTTTGGTTTTGATCGGCTCCCAACAGCCATTCGTTGGGTACGATCGCAGTTTTCCTGTGTCGGTGGACGTTTTTCCACTCTGAAGATTGTCCTGAGCTTTTTTTCATGTCGTTTCTTCCAGCCTTTGCACGTTTTCGGCTATTCTCCAACACATTTCCTATTTCCGAAGTAATTCTTATGATTCTGTTTTCTGTGTAGAAATTTCTGATTTCCATTTCCTCTCTGTAGTACGTATTTTGAATCGAATTTAGGAACACCACACACATGGCGAGACCACAATATGCAACAACCGTTTCCTGACTTGATGATGGACGATATGACGACATTGCAGGTAATTTATTGAGACCTCTTTTTACACCTCGCTCCACTTACCTCATTTGTACGAGTTTATTTGACTTACCAGAAACGAGGTTGACAATATGATTCCGGCGGCTAACGTTTCGGCGGTTTCGCCTTCTTCGGAGCCTAAAAAGGTGGAAACCAATTCATGATTCGACCAAATGTCTCTCTACCCTACGGGAGCTTCGAGACCAGCTAAACATCACACGGAGGAGTGAGAGTTAGTTAGGACGATAAAGTACCGTACCTTCCTAGATCCAGCAAATCAGCTCACAGGAATGACTGTATAGCGGATATTAGACTAATCCGAGTTCAGGGTTTCCTGGCTGGAAGGCTAACCTTATATAGGGGGTTAGTTTCCCGCGTTATTGACACACATTCTCCCTGCGGTTCATTTTTGGATTCCTGACCCGGATCCAAAATGCCTCCAGGGTTTTGCGCGCGGCTGTCTGGTTTTCCTGGGGACAGCGCCACTCGCGCGGTCCGACGGTGACCGCCAAAATCGTCCTCCGTTATGGGTGTCAACCGCGGACCGGTGTGGGCAACCTAAAGCGGTGGACAGCTGCGACCTTGCCTTTCCATTCCAAATGCTCCTTAACACGCACTCAAAGTGGTCTAGCCGTCTCTCCTATGTATTCATCCTCCTCAGGCCTGGCAAACGATCCTGTAGACCCACCTGCGATGGCGCAGTCTCCCTCGTATGCCATTGGGGCAGACCACACAGTTTTCGGTAGAGACGGGTAACGGAACCAGACGGTGTTTTAGATTAGTGTGAGAGCGGAATATCCACAAGGCGAACAGTGTTTTCCAGACCCGATCTTATTAGGCTCCGAAGAAGGCGAAACCGCCGAAACGTTAGCCGCCGGAATCATATTGTCAACCTCGTGTTCTGTTAAGTCAAATAAACTCGTACTATAACTATGCCGAGGTTCATCGAGAGTCGATCGTGGAGACTACCTCATTTTTTTTTGATTGTTGTCTTTTATCAGGGAGGCAACCCGTTACTGACGGGAGATCCGCTGATCTCACAGGCTGGTGCCCATCCTTCTCCACATTTAACTGGCGGCAGTCAAATGAGCCCGGATATCCAATGGGATCAGTCCGGTTTCAGTCCAGAAGGTCACAATGGCCTTCATCAACAACACATGGATTTTTCATGAATCCATGATATGAAATGAACATGCCGCTATTGAAATATGCGTGTGAGGTTCATCGAGACTACCCGTATATATTTCTTGTATATTGTACAGAGTTCCTTTTTTTGGTTCGCTTATTAATTCTCTAGAGTAGATTGTCTATATTCAGATGTTATATTGTTTATTATATGTTGTTGTAGTAATCCGACTTTGAAAGCTATACATATATTATAATATTTGACTTGATGGGATGTAATGGTAACTTGTTTTACTGTTACATTATCCGTTCTTTGTTCAACCGCGTGTATTCTTCTGTTGTATATGATGATCGGTCCTCGCTCGGTTGCGCAGATGGAGCTGTTACGTTGTCCGCCAGGCGGGGCCATGTCTCATCCATCCGTTTTTCCTTCGGGTCCTTCGGCAAGAATCGTTTTCTGTGCAGTCATGTACTTGTCATCGCGTTTCTAGAGATTTTTTCAAGTTTTCCTTTTTTTGTTTTTTTTTTCTTTATCCTTTCACTGACTAACTTGGCTGTTTTTGCATCATTATCCGTCATCTTCTTGTCATCATCGTTATCCGATTTGAATTTTGCTTGAAATTGTACAGTGTGTATTTGTTTGTCTGTCTGTGTGTCTGTCTCAATGACTAGGAATGATGATGATGCGTTGTATAGGCACCGTTTGTTGGCACATTGATGTGCAATACGAGTCGCCTACCCTGATTCGTGTCTGCTTTTCCTCATCTTCGCCATGCCATGCAGGGATTGCGCCCCCCCGCACCCCAGGTCTAGCAACATTCGTCCCTACCCCCCGCTCTCTGTCTCCGTGATCCCTCAGTCGTGAACATATTCCATGTCAGATGGGTTCCTCCTCGTCCTCGTTGTCTATGTTGCCTCGTATGTTTCACGCTATTCGCCGATCCCTACCTTTTTCCATCTATACTCTCCCTCTCTCTCTTTTTGTATACAGTCCTACTCACACGTGGCATACATGCGACCTCTCTCCCTTTTTATTTGTTTCACTAACCTGGAGACTATTTCAATGTACAAGTCGTATAATGTATGCTATACGAAGTTATGATTCAACGACCTACACCCTTCTTGTTTCGCCTGTTCGTTAGCCGATTGGTTTGATCATCCTCAAAGCGTCATGGTTTTAGTGCTAACCGGTTGTTATGTCGTCCTCCTCGGCACGTATTCACTGTTGCACTCTCGCATCCTCGTCCCACGCTTTCTTAGCTGAGGCCCGGCTTGCTTTAGAACGTTCAGAGATGAGCAGTTTCCGAGTAGTCATTCGCTTCAGTGCTGTCATTAATTGTAAGTGTGATTACTTTGGAAGCTGCATAAATCAATTATTAGACGTTGTCAGTCAGGTTATTGGTTGTGTAGAAGGGGTGGTACGTTTTGCTCGATGATGAATTTCCGGATTTCCGAACTCATCAAGTTTGTCACTTATAGGATTACTGTACGCTTCCAAAGAAATGTCGCTAATAGCGGGACATTCTCACCATCTGTAAAAACGGTTTCGACTTGTGCCTGAGAGGCCACTTGCTTGAAGTTTGGGGAACGAAGATTGTGATGGAATTGCTTAATTGGTCCACGTCTTGGGTAAATCAACGTAGAGACATTGGAATTTCTTCGTGGTTCCAAATTCGCGAAGTTTATGGCCTGACTATGCGCTTTATCGTACCCAAAGTTCTTCTATCAAAGGTACGGGTCTTAAGGAAATCCTTCGCGGAAAATCCTTGCATTCTTTCTCAACACGAATGTATCAGTTGTGATCACTAGATGCAATACACAAAGTTTTACGCATGAAGGTTCGGTTTCCGAAGAGAAACAAACTCACGAAAATCCATTCTATGGACATCGAAGGTAATTCGGGCGGAGCCAAAGGCGGGGCATGGAATAAGTCCGCACTGGGGCGCCTACGTATCAGGCGACGCAATGAAAGAATCGGGTTAAAGCGCGAGAAAGGGACAAATCGATCGCCTAGAACTAGGAGGACGAAGATTTAAGATGTGAATGGCAATACACAGCAGGGAGCCAGAAGCTTTTTTAGTGAAGGCACACCAAGACGCAAGTGGAACCACCCCAGTCGCCGAGTATTTCTGTGAGCAGATTGTGCGGGCGTAGCGCGTGGTCGAACGCGCGTAGCAGCCCTTTCGAGTTTTTCGAATTTTTTACCAAAACAATGCAATTTTTCTGTTCTTTTCATTCTTATCGTGGATGATGGGTCTCAAGCCAGTGAATTATGGCTGAAAATGAATCATGATTTTTCCGTGAAGGATTCCTTTAAGCGAACGTTTGCGTTGCCTTGCTCGAAAAATTAGGCAAGAAGCACGAAGATCTAAAGTTAGAAATTGTGACAAGCATCAGGCAAATCCCGACACTGTTTCCTGTAAGGTGACCGGGTTTGAGGGAGAGGCATAGGCGCTGGCGAGGCAGAGGAAAACGTGGGTTCGGGAGAGCCACCTGTCAGTGCGAGAGAGCGCAGATACCACCGGTATGTTGAGGATGGTAAAACTGCAGCGGTCCAAGCAGGAGATGAGGGGCTCGCTCGACTTCTTTCAGGTAGTGACCTCGCCCAGCCCTCCGGAGTGGGTCCTGCACCGCCGTAAGGAGCATTTTTCTAATAGTCTAGTCACTACCCCGCTTTAGCTTATGGGTACTTGGGCATCTGACCCAGGTTCAGTTCCACATTTGAAGGCACCTTCCACGATCGAAGGCTTGAGCTCGCGTCGAAGGACTTATATAATATAGTTCGAACTATCGAACAGGGAGCGAGTCCCCAACGGGAAGCGTGAGTCCCACAGCCAATAAAAGCGGAATCACTTAGGTGAAAACCGTCGTGGAATCGGAGCTCGGAAGGCACTCAGCCATGTTGTAGCCAACCGGAATGTCGTACACCACGGGACACCTTTCCGCGGAGCGAACGAAGAGGACTACGGGCGAGGTAACACTTCTTGGTTTAGGAGCGAGCCGGAGCGGAGACACCGTGCAGCATATTGGCGGACTTGAAAACGGCTAAGGTGCATGACCGCGAGAAAAGACGGCCGCGCGGTCATGGCAGAACCTTCAGCCCTTTTTCGTCCACTTTAGCGATTGCCCAACAAGTGCCACGACATCTACTCGAGGCACTGCTGACATCACTCACGGGAAGGTTACGTGTGGGACTCAATCCGGCATGTATGGTTCGATGATCCTCTGATTCTGCAGACGAAAATTGCACAAAGCCATCATGTTGACCGCTGTTGAAGAGGCAGACAAAGAAGTGACCGTTAACACAACTGATGGCTTCCCCTATTTGTGGAGTGGTCTAAGCTAAAGCAGTAGAGGCAGTAAGCTTAGGGAGAGAGAAGACACGTAAGAAAGCACAACTGATCAGCGCATGCTCCCATGCTGGATATTGCGAAGAGGAGCCGCGGAACACTGAGGCGCACTCAACACGTCTTACCAAGCAGGCGTTCGAATTCCCTGAACTTCTATCATATTCGGGATTAGTAGCGTCCATAGAGCATTGAATGCCAGTTACAAACCTGCTAGGTAATTGCTCAAGTAATCTTGTAGGCGCCATCTCTCCACGTTCGAACGGCGGGCAGCCTCGCGTGGGAGGCCACGGGAGGAGCGACAATGTCTGAGAAGTTCAGCGAGATGAAACGCCGCCATGGCAGCCATTGAATGCCAGTTACAAACATGGAAGCTAAACCCTGCAAAATGAACTTGCTGAACATGTCAGTGTTGGGTGCACATGAGCGCTGAGATGTGAGGCTATCTCGTAGATTTAAAAGATTGCAAACTTGGGTTGCCGTGGAGTATGGTAAGATCTCATTCATCATTCGATAGGATATGGGTCCTATTCCCGTCGAGGCCCAGGTTTTTGTAAGTCATGTTTCGTCAGTGAAGGCTTCTATTCTATTCTATGGTTTTTTTTTCAAATAAGCACCCTATCACAGCTACCATGACGCTTGCTGCGTACATGAAGATTCTGTAGTTTCGTGCGTTACTTTGTTTATTCTAACGTTGATTCAGAAGAACAATAGCTAATTCATTCGTTCTCCTACCATAATGTTGGTGAAGTAATGCAAAAAAATTTAACTGTTGGGTTAAACGCTCGATTTTGACAGCTCACAACTTGCTTGGTATGTTCATTTTGCAATTTTAGCTTCCATATTTGTAATCAGCAGTGAAGCTCTATCGATGTACCTAGGTCTCGATGCGAAGTTCCATGGGAAGTTGAATGCCTTTCCTAGTTAGTGTCTTCGCAGCCCATTTTCAAGATTAAAGGCATGCCCCAGGATCACATTGGTGTGGCTCTTGCACACGAATGCGAATGTATTGGTGCGAAATGGGCCGGCAGTAAAGAAAAAAGGAAAAGAATCCGTCGAAAACGCTTAGGTTAAGGGCTCACTCACCTTCCTAATCGGCTGTGCTAAGGGAATGAGAGACTAAGCGCGGAGAGGAGAGTATGAGGCGAGAGAGCGCTACAGATGAGAGAGCGCCAGACAACAGCCTGATAAGAGAAAAAAATCTGCAGCTTCAGCAGCTTACTTTGCAAGGCCCAAGCGCTCTTGTCGGTTGGTTTCCGTGCACGGGAACGCCACATTTGTGATTGTCCTCTAGGGTCTCTATACTACAGACCGAAGGAAGCGTTCACACGACCTCTGCCTGGGTTGTGCCTTTAAAATGGTGTGTATATCTATAACCATAATGAGCAGCTATCGCAAGAAGTTGGGATATGGGCAAACATCCGCCCGAGGCGAGAATCGAGCATCTCCATGTTGTGGCAAAAAGCTGTTCCCAAAATCCAGCTTGCTTTTGATAGCTGTCGCATGGCGAAGAGCAAAAGACAGCAGTTCTTCTTCTTCTTATTCTTTAGCGTCTGTCCCGCTTGTAAGCGGGGTCCGCTTTTCTTATGTGTTGACGCCACTTTTCCCGATTAAATGCTTGATCGGGGTGGATATTAACTGACTTCAAGTCTACGTGCAACGTATCGAGCCATCGCTGCT